CCCGAGAAAACTTGTCAGTGCAACTTAGGACTACCATGGCGCATTTGCAGTATAGTGCTCAATGCTGTTCCTTGGTACTCATGATGCAAGTTCGTTCAATATCATCATGGCCATGCTACATGGTTGTTGCACTGCTCTGTACACTATGGCAACCATTGCTACCAGCTACGACTACAGGAGGTTCTACAGCTATCACTCCGAATACTCTGACGGTTATTGCTATTTACTCGCTGTTCGTCTCCTCGCGTTGGCTTGTTTGGCTATGTTGGGTCTGCATTGTTGCCACCAGCAGCCAGAGCATACGAAGGTAACCCGATTATGATTCTCATCATGTTGATGACGAGGTGGCAGTGGTGGTGGTGCCGCTGAGGGCGGTGATGATGTTTCCTGTGACCGAGAATCTTGATGCTCGCATCCCCTGTAGCACAAATGACAACATGGCATCACGCATATCATCTCTCACTGCTCTGAAGTACAAGTGGTAGAAATAGTAATAGTAGTCGTCGTCGTAGTAGTAGTAGTAGTAGGAGGAGGAGGAGGAGCAGCAGCAGCAGCAGGAGGAGGCGTCGTAGGTCGATGTCGTCGTCATCGTAGCAGCAGGAGTAGCGGCAGCAGCCGCAACATAAATAGACGGAGGGCATCACCCCTTGCAGAAACCTGCATTTCAGATGTACACTCGCAATTTAGCAGGACCTAGTTTGGTTGGCTTCTGACACTTTGGCACCCCGAGATGCTGCGCGAGAACTGAAATACTGTCAGGCCCGAAGGCTTGAAGGGAACAATCGTAAACCACGCAGAGCCCTTCACTTGTTGCAAACGGGCTATGCCACGGCCCAGGCCATAATTCAATTCGTGCGTGTGTGGCTGGAACAATCAAAAGAGAAGCTTCAAGACAAAGTGAACTCTCGATCGGTCTCGAGGTGCATCCTGAACATGAGACGGACCCGAAAGCCCTCAACTAGGTCTTTGGGCAACCAGCATAGGAATAATACTGACAGGGGGGGATGTAGACGGTTTAGTTTCCTTTTCTGCCACAGGCTTGTTCGGGCAACATCGTTCGGACTGTCAACGAACGAATTACCCTTGCTGATCCTGACCCGGCCCTAAACCCTGAACCCCAAACCCTAAACCCCTAAACCCTGAACCCCAAACCCTAAAAGCATCAGCACCGAAACAAAGGGATGCCTTTGCTTGTTTCCCAACTCCGGACGCAGGTTCGCAGGGCTTCGGTAGCTGTACCTGGAGCTGCCAAAGATAGGGAAAACCCAGAACCACAGTGGCTCAACATACCTGCTGGTGCAGATGTCTTCATACATTGCTCGCTGGGCTCGTGCACTAAATCTGCCTTGCTTTTGCGGTAGTGCAGGCTTAAAGTCTTCAATTCCTGGACCTCCACAGGCCCTGTACAGTTTGTAAAGTGACAAGTTGGGCTGGCTCAGGGTGTGCGTGGTATATGGGGTTGCTCAAGCCATGCGCATATAAAATGTGCTTATAGCTGTTGTATTGATGTACCTTGTTGTCTGAAAGTCCCATAGCGGCGGCCAGGATGACCATCATCCGCTCCCTCGATTAGGATTGTGCCAGGCTGTCTTGTTGAATCTCCCCCCGCAATGAGGACTTCAGACAACCCCACACATGTCAGTGCCATATGCTCCTATTCGCACATCCAGCCGTTCTCCAAACTCAGAGCCATACACTCACATTGAGGTGTACTTGGAACTCAATGCACAAGACAGTACTCCCACGATGAAACTAGCCGAACTCCCCATGGAAACTGGGCGCCTCCATCGCCCTTCGGTTGATGATATAAATCCTGCATTACCCATAATAAGGAATATGCCGCAAATCCCATAGTTTAGGGTCCTTAAAGTAATGCAGGATTTGTGTCACCAACAGTATCACCGTTTTCCCGAACTCGAAGTTCCAGGGCCCCATGGGCCCTGAGCAACTTCATGAACCCCAGCAGCCAACAGAAGACAGCTGGTCCCCAGAGACCCCACAACCCTAAACCCTTAAACCCTAAACCCCCTAAACCCCCTAAACCCTTGAACCCTAAACCCTTAAACCCTTAAACCCCTAAACCCTTAAACCCTAAACCCTTAAACCCTAAACCCTAAACCCCCTAAACCCCCTAAACCTGAAAACAACCCCAAGGGGCAAGGACCTCTTCAAAGGCCCCAGAAAGAGGAGCGACTTCTCATCGAGGTTTTCAAAGCTGGCGGCTTCGATCGTAAAATTGGGCACCTGAGACTTTGCGGCTCTCCTGTTTAGGGTTTAGGAAGGGCTGTAGTTAGGGATCGCTGCCCAGTTGGTTGGGTCTGGGGGAATTCTGGCTCATTGTTTAGGGGCTGGTTGGTTATCTTAGTTGTTGAGTTCATGAGCACAAAAAAGTGTACACTTTCAGTTCTATAAGGGATCATATTGTCCCAAAAACTTTAAAGTGTAGTCATTCAGCTCCTAAGTTGTTATGAGGCTTCTGGGATTTGGGTGTGGCATCAAACCTCGGGATTCGCCCAAGGTTCAGACCTGGGGAGCAACTCGGGGCAACTGAAAACTCGCCAAAATAGGGAGGGGGTAGGGTTTAGGGTTTGGGGTTTGGGGTTTAGGGTTTGGGGTTTGGGGTCTAGGCAAAGGCTTCGGCATGTGTTACACCACAGGCTCACTATTGGGTTCAATTTGGGGTTCATAGGAGTCCGCAGCTCCTTTCAAACAGACTAATGCTCGGAGAGTGAAACTGAAGGATCTCCCGGATCCCACAGAAATGTTTCCAGCATGGTTCGGGCTCCATCCAGAAACTCCAGATGTAAAGCATAACTAAACAACGATGTCAGAACAACTGCCCCAAACCCTAAACCCTAGACCCTAGACCCTTAACCCCAAGCACCGAATCAAAATCAACAACACCGCCGCAACTGTGCGCCTGGCAAGCATCAAGCAGGGACCTCACGACTGAAATCCCCAGTCGTTTTAGGGCCTAGGGTTTGGGGTTCAGGGTTTAGGGTTTAGGGTTTGGGGTTCAGGGTTTAGGGTTTAGGGCCTGGGGTTTGGGGTTTAGGGTTTAGGGTGTAGGGCTTGGGGTTTGGGGTTTAAAGTTTAGGGTTTAGGGCTTGGGGTTTGGGGTTTAGGGTTTAGGATTGTAGCAGCAATGCAGCTACTGAGGACTGTGTTCGAGTTTCACCCACAGCCTGGCATGTCTGCTGGACAAGTCACCCTTCAAATGCTTCAGCTTACAAGATGCTGCTGTACACTACTAGTACTACTAC